ACCTACATAGAGCTTGCGGGCGGACTATTTCAGAAGCTGTGCTTCTCAATTGCAGGCTTACAAACAACAGTAAACACAGCACAGCAATTTCGCCACAAAATAATGACAGTCGAATTCTAACCGAATGAGATGATGGTGTCATTCGATGTCATCTTACTCTCGGCGTCTATGCCACGGGCCCTTGCGGTCGAAACACTCAGAAATCTGCTACGATGAGGGCGATGGGCAACCAACAGGCCAGAATCTCATAGAATTCACGGGGCACTGCCTTGATACATTTTTTACTTTCGAGAGGAGATCACATATGAGAAAATTAAGGGCACTCCGATGGGTACACCAATGTTGGAGTTCATTGCCGAGGCGGTTCTACAAAAACTCGAGAGGCGAGTGTTCCAGGAGTACAAACCCAAGTTTTGTGCAGGCTGCGTCGATGGCATCTTTGTAATCATCGATCGGAATAAACTCAACTACTATTGGAAACTACAGAACTCAGTCATTCCCGATCTACAGTTCACGATAGGAGAGGGAGTGGAGAAGAGACTTCCATTCTTGGATATTCTCGTCAGCCGACAACCAGACGACAAACTGGCGACGTCAGTCTACAGAAAGCCGACGAACACCCTGCAAATGCCCATTTACAAGAGCAACCACACACCGCAACATAAACTAAACCATGTACGCGGTATACCGACGAGTGGGAACTCACTGCAACACGCAAACCGCCAAACTAGACGAGATTAATTTCCTCCAACAGTACTTCAGATCCAACGGCTATCCGTGAGCATTCGTTGAACTGAGCCAAGGGCAACCAATGGAGCGGAATAAAGATCATGGTCAACCAAAATCATGTCGAAGCATCCCGTACATAAGGGAGTTCCCAAAGCCGTGATTTGATCCCGTGCGCCACTCAGAACAGGAGTTGCCAACAAGGTGGTTCAACAATCCGCCGGCAAGAGATGCGCCAAACCGATCTCGACCGTTGTCTACCGTCTTCAGTTCAACTGCAGAATGTGCAACCAACCAAAAAGGAAGCCGGCGACGGCTGCAAACGCGAATGCATGAGCACCAGTTGGCCGTTCAAAGGCTGAACCCGAAGTCGGAGGTGGCAAACCATGTCACAGAAACGGCACATATCCTCAACTTTGACGCCGTTGAGGTCGTAGGCCGAGGCGATGATCATGGGGCAAAGCAGGTGCGAAGAGTCTGGGTGTCTAGCGACTGCTCTATCAACCGCCATCTTAATTTACCTCCCCCTATCTGGTATGGCAAACCTTGCGGGGGACAGCCACGGCCAGGAGCAGTCGGGACTGCCACTTATCTCTGCAGTCAGTGAGGGTGGGGGCCACGAAGACACGATGAAATACGGTTTGGATTCAGCCACACAGGCGGCATTGGTGGGCTACGCACAAGACAAAGAGCGCCATATGATGAGAGCAGTGGGCATGATTTTCTGTTCTCTGAAGATGGGTAGGCAAAATAATTACTCGTAACGTCAGACCTCCAATAAACCTCTCCCGTTTAACGCCTCCTCTTCTGCTAATGGAAGCGATGTGGCGAGTTCCGGGACGATGTCGCGAAATGAGAAACAATAGCTGGAACAAGATCTTTATTAGACCAACGTTTCGGATTCTCGCTCAAATCCATCATCGGCAGCAGTCAGGCAAAGGTTGTGAATTGCCCAGATGTTTCAGTATTTAGAGAATGCATTTGCTAGACTGCTACGTACCTATCACTGTTGGTAGCTCCCATGTGCATCACGGTTCAATTGGACAGGTGTTGCAGTATGCAGTTGCAATGTGTCTGCGTGAGATGATTTGGTTAGTATTTCAAGAGAAAAAAGACCGTCTCTAATAGAAATGCACATAAATGGAGCAGACAGGACCGTTCTGCAGGTGAGAGTATATAGTGGCTTGCGATGACCCAAATCGGGGTAGAATTCCTAAACCAGATGAGACTTTTCATTGCTGATTCGATCATGATATTTCCGAGATGACAGCACAAACGGCTGTCAAGATGGCAAGAAAGGAGGAACACAGACGCAATCGGTCACAGTCCACTTAGTTTTCATCCGAGAAGGCGACATTAAAGGTTGCGGCCGTCATCAAGGAGCTGGGAGATACGGCCATGATGCTACATTGCTGGATGACCAAACTGCCAACAGAGGGCGAAAACGGAGGAGTCTATCGTGATGGATAGTACATCGCTTGGGGTCAAAATGAGGAGATAACGTTCGAATCCACGAGAATCGTCGCTGCAGGGGAGAGATAATAACAGTAGGCAATTTTCAAAGTCAAGAATTTGAGTGTTCAGGGATTCTGCTGTAAAAAGCGACTCAATGCCTCATGGAATAACGGGCTTGCGCAATTCCGACTTATATGTCGATAGTTGCGGTTATAGGTTTCGGTATAATGTGCTTGCGTAATGTCGGCTTGACTATCGATAACTTAGGCGATGACCTAAGTTCTGGTGGAAGATTATTCCAAGTGAAGGCATATCTGGATGCAAAAATAGGGAGCGTTTAAGTGTAGAGCAAAGAAGCAGTGGAATCATCATGGAGGAGTTTCGCGTAACATAAGACCGAGCTCCCGGAATGAGAGTGTCATTACGCGGAAGACTGAAGCTAGAGTTAATGCAAAAAGGAAGCAAAGGCCATTTTCGAGTTTTCTCATCTATAAAAACTTAATGATCGTTAGGTGACATCTTGGGGCGCGATAAATAGCGGATGCAGCTTGAGAGAAGAGTTTCCGAGTGAAAACCCTCTGAACATTTTTCGCCTTTATTACGATCACATGTGTTCATCAAAGAAAAGAAAGGACAGCAGTACTCGAGAACAGGAAGAACAAACTTTTGATGAAGTCTTGATTTCATTTCCGGAAGGCAAAGTATGCGATATGAACCCACATATCTGTGCAGCTTTGGCAGAGATTCTATCTGCATGAGGTGATAAAGCAAACTTATTTGTATAATTTAAACCTAGATACTTTATGGTGTAACATTCTCAGGGTTGGTTATTCCGGAAAATTATGGGTCCTGGAAGCTTGGCATAACCAAAAGATATAAAACTTAACTTGGCCGAAGAAAATTCCCTTTACCACGTTGAACTCCATTTCCTCAAACGTAGTCAATAGGCATTAATTTTTTTCAACACAAACATTTGCGGTGTCCTTAGAATATGAGTAAACACACTTGACGTCATCGGCAGTAGCGTATTTCCGCCAGATCGAAGCTGAGGAGCAGATGAGTTAACTGCTGAGTATGGATTTGAGCTTGAGGAATTCATTAGTAAAACTTCCCTGGAGGAAACATCTTAGGGGGAGTGGTGGACGAACTGCTTCCATGGAGCAAGATTTCTATTAATATGCGGGAATGTCAGCATATTCTTTCCAACCGTCTCGATTTGAGGACTGTGTGTTAGTTTGAAACACGTTTTGGGCCGTTGTGTTTGAGGCAGTTTTATGGAAAATATTTTATAATGTAGCTGGATTTACCCGGTGGTCGAGTGGCTGAGACGGCATTTGTATTCGTCTTTGACTTAGACACATGCTTAGACTTGCTAGAGGTTGCTGGAGGAGTCGGTAGGGGCGTTTGTACATCAGGCGTGTTGCTGCGTTTAAGGATATCAGCATCAAGAGTGGTAGGCCGCTGATGACGATGAAGAAGACTTACTCAAGCTGATAATAGGTGCCATTATATCGGTGTTGGTTTTAGACAATTTCAATTTGTTCAGTCTTCGTTGTATTGTGAGAGGTCCGGTGAAACTGGGCAGCGTCTTTTACGACAGAAATCTTAATTATCTTCCTCCCCGACAAGATAAATCGACTTCCATCAAGGAGAAGAGGATAACTAGTACCGGCGCATTACGGTTGAGCGAGAGCAGTCGTTTAACTTGTGCGACACTGAAACCCAATTCACAACTATGCAGGAACTAATGCACCCCCTATATAGCAGATAAGTGACTTGGAATGTTTCGCAGTACACACTTATGCCTGCATTGGACTCTCTCCTAAGTTTCAGAGCTTATTACTCCAATAACTTTAAACGTTTGTTCAATGACTTTTTCAGTAGCGCAGCTCATGTCGCCATATATCAACTGATCGAGTAATTCGTCGGCTGATGTTCTGTACCGACTAGCATAGACGTAGTTTAGACGATTAAGGGGTCAGGAGGTTATACTAGGACCAAAGGGATTTTTGATTTAACCATATCCGATAGTTCGGCCGTCGATTTCGACGATGTCCATCGTTACTGCTTGCTAAAGTTTCTGCACGAACTGGTTCTTTGGACGGCCCATCGGAACACCCTAAAGCGCTCGATACCCAAGTGCGACAGAGCGTTCGCCGGTAGCTGAAACTTCCTACAGACACGCCGGTCTCCTTCCTCCATGCGCCTGTTGCTGATGGGGTCTTGTTGTTCCCTGCCTGACAGTTCTCGTCCCCTTCGCTACACGCCGTCGCCTGGACTGCGTTCTCAGTTTCATTGAGTCCTTTGTGCAAGCAGCTGCCACAACGCCATCTGCACTTCCCGGCCTGAGGTTTGCGCCTCAACCAGTGCGAATGGGTCATTCGGTCCTTGCCTGCAAAGAAGACGCAAGGAACTATTGGAGGACTGCATTGTACAACTCTGCAGACGGCCGCCCACTTGCCCAATTTGCCAAATCCGCCTGCGCCAGTCACTGGCTTTCCTTCCCTGTCCGGGTATTCCCGTGGCTCTATCTTCGGGGCATCCAACTTCGGGCGGGTGTTCACTCCACGAAATCCCGCAGGTCCCGTAGGACAGGCACAATAGATATTCTGTGTCGAGGGCAGTGCGGCCATAGGGAGAATCTCTTCCACATACTCCAATGCTGTCAGGTTACGCACCAGGCCCGAGGTTGGAGGCATAACCTGACTATGAAATTACTGGTCTCTAAGCTTACTGGTCGTGACCATGAAGTTCTGATTGAACCTCACATTTCCGAAGACCAGACGTTCAGAAAAGCGGATATTGTGTTGTGCGTCGAAGACGGTCTCACGGTGGTTGATGTAGCCGTTGCTGACGAAGATTTGGTGGACACGGTCTACGCTGGAAAGATTCGCCACTATTCCACAGTGGACGTCGAGGGGAATCTACGGAGGATCCTCGGCAAACCAGCTGACTTCCCAATCCTATGTGTGCCCGCTATCTTCTCTCGCGGCAGCATCTCACCACGCAGCGAAGCTAGTCTGAGGCTTCTTGGATTGTCCCCCTTTGATCTCTCAGACCTGTGTCTGGCTGTGGGTAGAGATTCTCTGAAAGCCTATGATGTCTCTGTGCGCGGAGCCGGCAGCGCCGAGAACGGGTGAAGTTGAAAAACCAAAAGTTGCCCAATCAAAACCTGCCCTGGAACATTGTATTACTAATGCGTATCAGTCCACATTACGATAAACTGAAGTGTGCTCCTACACGTTCCTGCAATGCTTGCTTCTTATGGGGCAAGACCTGCTCAAATTGTAATTTCAGTTTGGGTATAATAAATATTTCATAGCCAAATGCCTCCTCATCTAATAAGTGACGTGCATGAATGGATTCACGAGATTCCTACTGTCCCTATCTACTATCTAGCGAAACCACAGCCAACGGAACGGGCTTGGCAGAATCAGCGGGGAAAGAAGACCCTGTTGAACTTGACTCTAATCCAACTCTGTGGAGAGACATGGCGGGTGTAGTAATAAGTGGGAGACGGGGCCTCCTCGTGGGCATATTGTACGACAATGAAAGATCACTTCCATCGCTGTTTCTTTACTTATTAAGTGAAGCGGAAACTTTCAATTATTTTGTATGTTGACGTTAAGCACACCTTGGTGCGTTGGTCTCACTGTGCGGTTGGCGTGCGGCGTCCTGGTCACAACTATCTGGCCAGGCTAGTGATGTGCATGCTTTGCCCTCTGCTCTGCTGGTTGTTGCCGCAAGGTTGCAGTCAGCTGGCGAACGGTGAGTGCGTGCATCCGGTCTTGGTGCTATCAGGCAGGTTAAACACTGCAGTGCGAGCCGGTCCTCGAAGGTGTAGGTCACCGCGTGTGACCTTAACGCAGACGTGAGTCGCGTCCCGATTTGTAAATTGTGCTCTCAGCCCGTTCGATTTTTACAGTTGACGTGTGATGCCCCTACTCATGTCAACCTTGTGAAATGTACATCGCAAAAGGAGCTGTTTTTGCCATCTTGGACGACAGTCTCCGCAGATTTGGTTTGTCTTCTGGACCTGGTTTTTTTTATCACGGCGCTTATGATGATTATAAGTTCTGACCTCGCATGCTTCCTTTTGACTGCCCACTGCGGGCGCTGTTGTATTGTTTCTGGATGACCTGTGTATATTATGCAATATTGTGCATAATAAATTCTCCACAACCGGATTCCCCATTGTCTGCTCAGTGATGTGCATTTACTGGTTAACGAGATCCAGTAGTTGTTGTCTGGTGTACAGTGAAAGGGATTCTTTGGACGTCATCAATGGCGGTGTCCTTTACTGCCGCACGTGCAGTGCGTAGTTTAAAACTTTTGCGAAGGGGCTGACTTACCTCGCTTATCTGACCTCACCCGTCGTCTTCCAGTGGCAGATTAATTCAAGGCAGTCGCAGATGTGCGTGAACGCGGTAGCCGGTGAGTAGGCGCCTATCAGACGCGGCCCCTAGCCTCTCACTTCACATATGGTAGATGAGACGGGGGAAATACTGAAGCCTGAGCATCTATCTTGAGTATTAGTGAGAAAGTCCATCAGTTGGCAGACTAAACCGCGGTTGATGACACATGAGGATGGACGTTGGCCATCAGCTTGGTTAGACAGGGGTGAGCTGTTTTTGTTGTGGGGACGGGTCCTTTCTCTAAGGTCTGCATTTGTGTCCAAGCAGTCGAGACTCCTACAGCGTCTGTGCTGAGGTGGCGTGCGCGGTTAAGACGCGCGTGACAATTCCAGGCGGGCACTCATGGCAGTACAGTGTATTTCCGTGTGATCAAGCGGGTCTGTGCGTGATCCAAATGTGCGGTCGCAATGGATGACAAGTAGGAAATGTGCCCTATTGCTGTCGAGGCTGTCTGAGTCGTTGGGTGCATTTGTGACCTGAAAGGAGGATGCTAATAGTTTTCCGTGATGTGGGAGGACAATTGGTCGCATTGACATTGTACCTAAGGTCCGGAAATGTGCATCGAGGGCAATCCCTTCACTGAGTGTCCGCTAGTAATGTGAAGAGCGTGGTCGAGGTTGGACGCTTGCGACGTTAATCCGCGTTACATGGTTCCCTTAGGTCCCTCGTTCCTTCTTGGATTCTCCCATCTAGTTAGCTTCTGTGACGTCTGCGTCGGTTCTTACGGGAGTATACTACGCGACCACTCCAGGTCAGACCTTGTCTGTAGGAGCTGTTTGGTCATCGCTGTGCTTCATGTCCGCGGCCATCCCTGTCGAATTCGGCCCATTCGATCGTTCCCACAACACCGTCGCTCCACCGCAGTTGCACCCGCTTCTAGCCAGGCACATCCTCGATGTCGACGATCCCTTTCAACCCCTTCATCCTCTGCATTCTTCGGAGGCAGCTGAGGTGAAAGTGGTTCAGCTTTAATGCTTTTTTTCCATCCTATCTCAGTGCAAGAGCGTACTCAGGACAAAATGTATGCACAGCCTGGATTTCGTGTTGGGGAGAATGTTGCGGCGATTTCAGACGTCTACCGCGTGCGTTGCGGAGTCAGCACAGCACTGGTGACTTGCGTGTGAACTAAGTTCATGGTTAGACACACCTGCACCGTACCTACCGCACTCATGAACCATCTACCTTCCTCCGATTGCAAGACAGCGTCAGTAAGACCGGACAAAGCTAAACAGTCCACATGGTACATGATGCATGTACCGGGCTACTGTAGGGTCATCTCTGATCTGAGAATCGCATAGGCGAGTTCCAGGAAGCATTTCAGAATAAGAAGAAGAGGATGCTATCACTGGAACAAGAAGTTTGTTGGCCTGACGTTTCGGATTCTAATCCGAACCCATCATCAGAGACGGTTGCAGATAAAAGTGGTGAAGGCACAAAGACTGCAGTATTTATAGTACGTGGCTGCCGTGTAGCCACATGCTCTCTGATCTTATATCGCTGATGCCGCGTGTGTGGCTGCATCCGATCCACATTTCATCGCGTCCCTTTTGGCCTCCGCCCTCGTTGACCATGGAGATAATTGGCGGCCCCGACTGTTCGGTGCTGTGAATGCGTGCGTCGAGTGTCAATACTGACGAAGGCTAGCAGAACTGCGGCCCGACCAAAGAAGGGCGAGATCGATATAAACAAAAAATGCGAGCTCCAGGAACTAGTTGAGAAGGAGTAGAAGCGATCGCTGGAGCAAGAGCTTTATTCGCCTCATGTTTCAGATTCACGCTGGAACTGATCATCAGAGACAGTAATGAGTACAGGTTATTCGTGCACAGAAAGTCGCAGTATTTAGAGGATACAATCGCTAT